GGCGTGTTTGATTCAACAGATAAACAGTATTCTAATTGTAGAATGCAGATCTGTGCAGCAATCATACTGGATTTGACTGAGATTCTGAAATACTTCTTGCAAAGGTATTCAGACTTTCTTGATCCTATAATAAAAAACTTCCAATCTCTGATGTTACTGTCCTTAAACTCAGACGTGATGTTCTCCAGACGTGCAGTGTCCCTTTACTCTCGTGTTTTCAAAACAATCTCCGTTTCCGGATGTAGTTGAAGTGGAAGTGGCCTGACTGCAGAGGAAAGTATGGAATGATAAAATGTTTCTACAATTTACAAATTGTGGGTTCAAGTCTCCCCAGCATCCTGTGTAATTTTGATTCAACCTTTCGAAATCCTCTAGGGATTGACTTTGATCAAGTCAAATAGAGGACTTCTTCAGAGTCAACAATCGAAAATGAACCCGAGGCCACAAGGGAGGAATTAGCACTAGACCTGGTCAAGCAAGTAATTGCATTACTCCTGTCCTGTAGTCCTTGCTCTTGCTTCATGTTGACTTCAAAATCCTCATGCTCAGCTATAAGGCTCTGCATGGCTTGGCACCTCAGTACCAGTTTGAGCTATTATTGCCCTACTCCCCACCTCACAACCTCCGGTCTTCTAACTTCCAGCCTTTGAAAACCTAATTAGTAAAACTGAAAGAACCATCTCCATAGGTGTTGGTAGTGCACGAGGAGAAGCTGTGACAATGGAAGAGGAGGAGTGAGAAAGGCATGGATGGAAACCTCTTTTCTTGTGCTAATCTGGAAAAAACGAAAATAAAAGCTGAAACATGAAAAAATAATAATAGCCATAAGAGGAAATGGCTCCTAGCAGCAAGCACCCCTTGTTCATATAGTTGTGACCATCCCCATATATCTCATGGGAGACCGGGGTTCCATTTCCCGACAACGAGACTGGTAGCTTTTCTCCCATCAGATTTCAATCTTTCATGCAGTGTGAGAAAGCGTACATAATTTTCCATTTCTGTCATTTTCTGATGGCTATTTCAAAAACTCCTAAATGCTTTTAGAACATCTACCAATGTATTTGATTATTTTTTCCCCTAAACAAGTTCATTATTGATCATAACAACCTCCAGAGAACAAAGAATGTGCCGAAGATGTGAGGCGTTGAATCTTGAATCAGCTACATGGGTATCTGTTCTGTGGTGGTCAAGATATATTTGTACGAGAAACCAGGA